AATTGAATTGAATTAAACCTGTTGTTTTTTAAACGGATAATTTTTTTTGGAAAATACCAACATTAAATAGTCAAACATTGGGAGGTAGAAACAAAATTATAACTAGCTTCAACAACGGATCTAGCAGGTTTTCTTCTATCTTCCTGTATTAAGCTCCTACCCTTCAGCATGATGCCTTCTAGGTTTTTTCCTGTCTGGGGTATTGGGACAGGTCAAATATTTACATTTTGGTCTCATCTGACCAGATCACCTTCATCCTCCTGTCCTGCTGTGTCCCCTGTATGGATTGTGGCAGTTCTCCAAAGGATGTGAACCTCTGCATCTCCACCAGGGTTAAAACAAGCCTTTTCCCTGCTTATCTGAAAAATGCTCTCCCTCTTCAGCCTGTCAAGTCTTAAGAAAAAGGTTTTCTCTTTGGTAGGTTTGCAATTATCCCAACAATTTTCTGCTAAACTAATCATTTCTCTCCAGGGAGTTTAAAACCAGGGATCATGTTGCATAACAAAAGTGCTTTTTACTTGTCCACACGTTTATTCTCGGCTTTCTGATGAACTTTCTTTTCTTCACAAATGCTCACTCAACATGCTATATGTCAAGATTTATGGTTTTAGTTAGATAAAGAGGTGAAAAGGTGAAAGGTGCAGATATACTGGTGCATAGAACTGTAGATTTTGTTAAGGTAGGTGGACGCTACCAGACAAATACACGTTGGAGTGAATGGGGAAGGCAGGACTTTTCTTTTTCAGGAGAGATTTTCTGAACAATTCGTGAAATGAAAATTCAAGCGTTAAATTACTCAATAATGAAATATGTCAAATGGATTTTTGTAAACCTGCTAAACAAAATGAAGCTTACTTTAATTCATCAGTCTATCTCCAGCTGCCTCATCATGATCAGCATCATTTGGATCATTTTTAACACCATATGTTATCAGGTATTAGTAAGTAAAGAACAGGACAGGTTTGACAGTCTCTAGTTGCTGTGTTTTTACTACTTTAAATGAATAATATTAACTTACAGAAAGTAATTA